TCTTTCTTTCTTTCTTTCTTTCTTTCTTTCTTTCTTTCTTTCTTTCTTTCTTTCTTTCTTTCTTTCTTTCTTTCTTTCTTTCTTTCTTTCTTTCTTTCTTTCTTTCTTTTCGCTTTTTGCTCAAACACTAAACATGTTACATTTTGGCTGCTATCCAATTTTTATTGTACTTTTAACTTAACAACAAGCATCTATGAAGTACAGTGGTGCCTCGCATAGCGAGGTTAATCCGTTCCGGATTAACCTTTGCTATGCTGAAGCATCATTGAACGGGGCAGGGAATTCCACTGGAACGCATTAAACATGGTTTAATGCGTTCCAAATGGGCCGAATACTCACCGTTCAGCGATGCTTCTTAATGGCCGGCAGCCATTTTCGCGCCCTCACCTCGCTTAACGAGGGCGCGAAAACGCTGCGCGTGGCCATTTTGGGCCATTTCCGGGCTTCCGGCAGCCATTTTGGCCGCCGAACAGCTGATCAGCGGGCTTCGTTTTGCGAAGATTGGTAAGCGAAACGCTTACCGGTCTTCGCAAAGCGAATTTTGCCCTATTAAAAAAATGTTGAGCGATCGCATTAGCGATCCGAAAAAAGGATCGCTATGCGATTTCATCGTTATACGGTGTGCTCGTTAAGCGAGGCACCACTGTATTTGACATGAATATAAAATGGGGAGGTAGAATTGTATTCTTTGTATGTTTATGGTGTGGGGAGAAAATAAATGTTTTGTTAGGCATTTTTGCACATCTGTGTTTTCTATCTAGCATTAGAGCTAGTGAAAAGCTGTAGGTGGATCAATATTCATGCCAAAGTAAGAACTATTTTCCTGAGCCTTTCAAGCCATGTCTTTAGTATGTTAATATAATTCAGGTAGAGGTTGGGAGTTCGATTCCCCACTGTGCTTCTTTGATGGGGCTGGTCCATAGAGTCCCTTCTAGCTCTCCAGTTCTAAATTGATGATGATTAAAAAAATACCAGGCAAAGTAAATCAAAATTTAAAAAAACCTTGAATGGTTTTATATAACAGATACAAGTTTTAACCAAAAACCTATCTGTTAAATATTGACATACAGTAGTATATATGCTGTTCCTAATACTGTACTGCCATTTATGTAGCTCTGACAATGTTATTTCTGAAATCTACAACTCTATAATACCATTGACATTTCTTGATATTGGTCCCAAAGCTCCAATGATGATGAAGCATGTTTTATCCACAAGCAAGAGATTTCCATTGCAAAGTCTCTGTATTTTGTTAGTTTTTCCAATTCTTATCTTGAACTCTGGCATCTCCTGGAATTGCAATTTCAACAATCCAGACATTTATTCGTCCTATGACTACTATGTCTGGTGTGTTATGTTCAAGGTGACTTATCAGTTTGGATCCAGAAACCCCACAAGATCTTGACTTCATCGTTTTCTGACACCTGATATTCCCATGGGTTTTTGGAGGTTGGCAAGCTACAGTATAGTATTTATAATGACCACTCTATTATGTCTGATTTTATAATCTGTTTGTGTAATCTTTGGACATTCACAGATGAGGTATGACACAGTTTTATCCTTTTCTTAGCAGAGTCAACATTTGCTGTTAGCACTAATTCCTTGAATATTAGCTTTCATCACATTGGTTTAGAGTGCTTGTTCTCGTGCAACAAAAATCAAGCCTTTGGTTTCTTTCTTAATGGTCCCCAGTTTTAGCCATGCCCATGTTGAATTATTATCATGCTTTCCATCAATATTTCTCAGGTGTTGTCCATGTACTGGTTTATTTTTCCAGCTGTTTAATTTCTTTTCAAATTGTTGTTTCTTATATTGATCCTTTGTATCTGTTGTTTTCAAAATATTCTCCATTTCCATGGCCATCAGTAATTTTTCTCTACTTGTACTAATATAATGATTTAGGCTTCTTTTCCCCCTCCTCTACTACCTGCTGTATTTGCAGTAATCCACAGCCTCCAATTTTTTGTGGGAAATATTACCATATTTTTCCATGTATAAGACACCCCCCCCCAATTTTTCTAACCCAGAATTTCTTTCTTCGCAAGAAAAGGGAGGGGGGAGACAGGGATCAAAGTGCTTTGATTCCTGCTTTCAACCTCCACTTTCTTGTGAGGAAAGTGCTTTCCCCGTCCACTTTCCTTGCAACAAGTGGAGGGGGAAAGCAAGAATCATCAAAGCACTTTGATTCCTCCCCCTCCTTACTTCTGTGTATAAGACGACCCTCAATTTTTAATCTAAATATTTTAGACAAAAGTATAGTCTTATACACAGAAAAATGCGGTATCTGTCCACATCGCTTTTTTGATGTAGTGAGTGATGCATGTTCATTAGTTTCCTTGTTTTTCGATCCAATTCTTCTAATTCATTTTGAGTCCAATCCATTATTCCAGCTGGCTATCTAAATACTGGAATGGCCCATGTGTTTATAGCTTTAATTGTATTTCCCCAATTTAATTTTAATTTGAAGATTTTCCATAGTCTTCTGTTGTATTCCCTTTCTGTCAGATCTTTAACTTTTATGTGCGATATGTTATCTGCTTCTCGTATTCTAAGGTATTTATAATTTTCCTCTCTTGATAGTGATTTTATAATATAATCAGATTTAACTCTATTCCATCTAGTTTTTGGATCTTGCCATGGTGTATAGACAGAGCTGCACGTTGGTCAATTCCAAATTTCATTTGAATATCTTCACTAAATATTCACACTGTTTAGCAATGATTCTATCTCAAGGGAACTTTTTGCATATAGTTTTAGGTCATCTATGTATAACAGATATATTTCCTGCTTGTTCTGAAATGTGGTAGCCCAATCCAGTTTTATTTAAAATTATTGACATGGGAAGTGAGATGCTAAACAATAGTAAGGACAAATAACCACCTTGGAATATTTCCCTTTTGATTATAACTGCCCTAATTTCTTCACCATAGGCCATTAAGATAGCTTCTATTTTTTTGTGCTTTTCTTGAGGAAAGTCTAAATATTTTTACTAATCCCAAAAAATGTTTTGCAGATTTTAATCCAGCTGTGTGGCAATGAGTCAAATGTTTTTTTAATAGTCTAGCCAGACCATGTTAAGATTTGTTTTTGTCTTTTTGCATACTTTAGTATCATTTTATCAATAAGCATCTTTCATGTCTCTTGATCTTTCATGATCTTTCATGCCTCTTGATGTTTTCAAAGTTACCTTTCAGTTGGGGATAAGGAGTTTTCAATTAAATAATTATATATTGGTCTTACAAATAGTCCTGTGAGAAGCTTGAAAATTGTTGGAAGGTATGTAATTGATCAATAATTACTGAGTTCATTGCCCTTTTGATGATCTCTTATTATCAGAAATGAGTGGGTTGTTGTTATTCAATCTTAAGCTGTAGAATTTTGAAGTAAGTAATTAAATTGCACTGCTATGCATTGATGGAGCCTTAAATGCTTTAATCAAAATCCATACAGCTCATTTGGTCCAGTTGCACTCCAGTTTTTCACAGTCTTTATTTGAATCTTAATCATTTCAGTTGTTATTACAATATCATCCACGTGTTTTCCTTGAGTTTCTTTGCAAATCTCTTTAATCCATGAGCCGTTTTTGTTATGTCTGATTAGGCTTTTCTAAATTTCTTTCCAAAATTTTAGAGTGTCATCTTTACATTTCTAATTTCTTTTGCTCTGCATTTTCTCCTAGTGATGTATAGAATAACCATTGGTTATTTTGAAATTGTGTGTTCTCCTTATATGGTTTCAAGTGTCCATCATATCTTTCAACGTTCTTTACTGTAGCTGTTACATGTTGTTTTAATTCTTCCATAATTTCAACAACTGTTTTCCTTTCTGGTCATATATTTTAATTTTTTCATTTATAAATTTTGAATCTTTCAAGTGCTTTAAGTTGCTAGTGTCTGCACGTAATTTGTTTAATTTTTTCCAGCTAAATTTTCCATTTCAGAGTGCCAGGAATTTTCTGTGTTTTTTGCAACTTTTAACCAAGTTCCATGGTTATTATGGTAGCTGTGCTATACATGAGCTGGTTTTTTCCCTTTAGTATACTGGTTGGGATCGTTCTGAGTACTGCATTTGCATCAGTCAACAGATTTTTTACAGGTTCAGTTTGTAATTGGGGCAGAACGTTTTTCTGTGTTTTGGCTAATATTGTTTACTAATTTCTTTTCCTCAGTGACGTCTGCTGTTCTGCAATTCATAATTTCTGGGGTTTTTTGTAAGTTCCTCTACCGATACATTCTCTTCCACTGTTGTGTCTGTCTCTACCCCCTGCCTTCCATATTATGATCATTGTTCTGTGCTTATACTTACTTACTTACTTACTTACTTACTTACTTACTTACTTACTTACTTACTTACTTACTTACTTACTTACTTACTTACTTACTTACTTACTTACTTACTTACTTACTTACTTACTTACTTACTTACTTACTTACTTACACTCTAAATGATGAACCTTCTCTGGTCCATCAATCGTCGTTCAGTTGTGCCGTTATTCGGGTGTTTCCTTTTCCAAATTTCCATCATTCTTTTTTGAAAACCATGGGCTGTTACGTTTGCCTCATAATAGTATTTCATACTTTCATGATTTTCAGCTGCGTTAGGTTTGCCTCATAACAGTATTTCATACTTTCATGATTTTCAGCTGGAGTCCAAGTTATTCATTTACGCTGTTCCAGGAGCTATGCAGCAGCCTGTCCTGGTTCCTCAGCAGGGTCTGCTGAGCTCTGTAGCCCAATTGTCACCAGATGTCCAGGAGCTATAGCATCTGATGTGGTCCTTGTTGACCCAGGCAATGGCTGATCTGGTATGGACTTCCATTTATTCCTTCTCATCATATTTGATGGTTGGCGGACACAGTTAGTCTTGCTTTTCAGCTGAGACCTGTGTGGCTTGGGAGACCCTTCAAGCAGCAATACTACCTCCAGCATAACTCTCAATCTCATTGAAGCACATGAGTCCCTCAGTCTTAATAAGGCCTGTGGCCACAGAGGGTGTTGTTGTTGTTCCAAAACTCATTTCTTTCCATCTGCACTTAGACTGCACCAGACCCTTATTGCAATGTTCATTTCTGTCTTCTACAAAGGTCCTTAGCAAGGAATGCCAGAGTTAATCATCCCAAAAGGTACCAATCATACAGTTGGTGGCACTGACTTCTGACATTTTCAGCATGAACAGTACCTCTGCATTTTACTGCCAGCATTGCTGAGGGATGGATGTGAAGAAGAAAGGCCAGCTCTTAGTCTCCTTTTCTTCCCTGATCTGTCCCACCACATGAAGAGAAATGCTAGTGCTCACTATTCTTTCCCGTCTACTCAATACTGTATCCACAAATGGTACACATGGAGACAACGGGGTATAAATCGAATATTAAATAAAAATAAATAAACGTGCAGATCTTTCTCCATGCCTACAGGAGGAGGTAATGCACCAAGCAGATGTGGAGTGGCTGTGTGCTCTCACTCATTTCTCTTGGTCAGATAGACAGAAAGAGCATCTGCACTGGCCCGAAGCAGACCCCTGACATCATAAGACATCTGTATTCCACCAGTTTTAACATGATATGGTGAGAGAATGTGGAGGGGAAGATGAATAATAAATAATTATCTTCTGCTACATTACACTACAGATAACTTGTTATGTTCTATTTTTTTAAAAATGGCTTTTCAGAATAGCAGCGCTGCAAGTAGTCTTCCTGCAAAAGAAAATAGATTAGACAACAAATAGGGATGACAAAGATTTGAACAAAAATTTTAAAAACTTTTTCCAGAAAAGCTTTGAGAGTGCATTTAGTGTAAAATGAATTAAATAACAGAATCTGTTTGAGAAACTGTGTGTCAGAGCTATACAGTATGCTTAGGCTAAATGCTATAAACCGAATCAAAAACTCTAAGAAAAGATTTGTTAATTTTTGAAAAAATGTGTTCATTCTACCATTTCATGATTTGTGAACATTTTCCTAGATTTTACTAGTCTTTAGCTTGTGATTCTATGAACTATTGAGTAGTAAACAAAGTGGGCTACCATGAAGTCTACTTCATGAGAAGGCTGGGATCTAATTATAACCTAAACGTAACCCTCTTGGTCTTCATTACCCAAAAGGAACAGTTTAAAAATAGTTAGCCTGTTTTACTGCACTTAAAATAAACTCATGACACTCTTTGTTACCAACAATAGCCAGGATTATTCCGAACATTTTCTTTTCCTTCCCTTTTGGGATATGGGTGTGTTTCCTTTTCCATCTCTTGGAATTGCTCCTTCTCTCAGTGTGTCTCCATCTGGTTACTGTAGAGGCTTGAATTATCAAATGACATCCCAGACCTGCATACAGAGTAATTCTTTGGATTGGGGACCTGGGGAAATACGGTCACAGCCACAAAATTATCTTTGCATACAAAACGTTTTGCAAACCTTATGCAGACCTGCATAAGAAGTTGACTAAATCCACCTTTCCACAGTAGGAATGGGGGGGAGGGGGAATGAAAGGAGGGAGAAAAAGTGATATGTGGGAAGAGAGTGAACAGATCATTGTGCTAGTTTGACCACAGTCACTCTTCCTCCAAAACATGAGGTACTTCTTCACTCAAGAAATGGCTATATTTCCAAAGACAGAGAAAAAATTGGGATTAGGTACAGGCTGAGGTCTGTGAAACAGGTTGGCCAAAGAAGATCTGCAGCTCCTCCAGTCCACTGAAATTATTACTCAGAGGCTTGCCAGCAAGGGGGCAGGGCTGGCAGGAAGTCCCAGCAGGAGAAGGCAATCTTGAGCTGCATTGGAGGAAACAGAGAGGAGCTCTCTAGATTTCCTGCTGTGACTAGAGCTCTTCAACCCACAAAAGTCGACTCCTAGAGCCAATGGCCGTTCTGCAGGTTACATGCTGGGGAGCTGGGGTGGTGGAGTCATCTTTTCAAAGTGTGAAAAACACCGGGGAGGTAATCTCTATATCCTCAACATTTGTTGCCAGAGCATCACATTATTGTCCAAAAGTTCACATTAAAACCCGTGGGAGGGAAATTTGCATTTTTCAAGTTTCGCCCAGTCTTTTTTTTTTTTTTTTTTTTGAGAAATGCTTACAAAGTGCTTATCTTGTTCAAATACCTTTAACTCTGATGCTAAACACACATTTGGAACCCCAGGAAGGGTGGGAAAGACACTGAGAAGGCAATTCAGAGTGGGGAAAAGGCAGATGGGGAAAGGGGTTCAGCTGCCCTCCCATTCTGATGACACAGGGAGAAACAGTATGCCTTGTGATGAAGAGACCACCAGGGCTAAACTTATATGCATCTATTCCTGATGTCTCATTTGAACCTGAGCATCCCTGAAATCACCAAGATCCACTGAAAGCGATTGGAGTGAATTTCAAGAAATGCATTTTTGATGTTTCTCTAACTTCTTTTTCATGGTCTGTCATAAAAAAAAAAAACCAAAAATGTGGAAACAGGATTTAAAAATCATTGGCCTAATTTTTCTTCACATTAAAGTCAGCCTCACAAGTGGGCTGTAAGAAAGTGAGAGGTTATTGAACAAATGTACTTTCCAGTATAAGTGTCTGGCAAGAAGCAGGTCCTTGTCTCATTTTCTTTTCTTGTCTTCCCTCCACCGCACCCGCCAGCTTCGAGAGCCAGAGTGGCTCTGGAAAGGAATGCACCTGGCACCGGCCACGGAGCAGAGCAGGGGGAAAAGCAGCCGTGGAACTAACTAGCTTTGCTCAAGAGCCAGCTCAGACTGGTTTGTGGCAAATCTGCCTTTCCAAAATTACTAATTGTGAGCTGTCCAAGGCCTGTCAGTAACCACAACATTTTGGCACACTGAAATAAAAAGTCATGATTAAGTAACTACTAACCTTCTGATGAGATCTTTGAATGTTTCATTTAACTGAAAAGGGTACATTCATTTGCAAATCCATTTTTCAGGAACCGCTGGCTCAAGCAGGTCCCCAGGGTGTCTTCTTGCAGCCCAAGTGTTACATCAAGGATAAATTTAGCTATTTACCATGCTGGATACAAAGACATGGTTCCAACTGTTATTTATATTACAGCAATAGCCAAATGACTCCACTAAGAAATGGTTCTGCTCTTGAAACTATACATACATTAAACTGTCCAAGTAAAAAAGGAACAGGGAGCATACTATTTCTATTGGACAGAGAGCAACCAGATCTGTGAGCAAAATACCCCAGGAAATGTATGGCTTGAGAACTCCTCACAGCCAGATATTCACCTGTGCCTTTCTGTCTGCATGCACCTTCTTGGAAATCCCTATACCGGCTACTGGGTTTGATAAACAAGTTAAATTATCCAGGAATGTGATTTCAGTTTTTCATATAACCCACAGACCAAGGTTCCTAACAAATTTCAGTGTGCAGAGCAGCAATCATTTATCTTAGAGGGTCACTTTAACAAGGAAAGAAAGAAGACCCACAGTCTGGTTCCTATACGTGAATGACACCTTCGCAATTTGGAACCATGGTGAAGAAAATCTGGAAGCATTTCTAAACCATCTTAACAGCATCCACCCAAATATATAATTCACCATGAAAAAAGAAATAGAGGGCCAACTCCCTTTCTTAGATGTCATAGTCATACGCAAAACTGACCTCCTATTGGGACACAAGGTCTACAGAAAACCCACTCACACAGACCGGTACCTACACAAAAACTTCAACCACCACCCATGACAAAAAAAAAAGGCATAATCAAAACACTCGTAGACCGTGCAAATCGGAATTGTGAAGCTCAGTTTCTCAGCACCACACTCACCCATCTGAATTGGGCCCTACAGGCGAATGGCTATTCCAAGAATGAAATCAAAAGAGCCATCAAACCAAGAAAACAACACCAAACTGAAGAGGAAAAACAGCCACCCACAAATAAAGTATTTCTGCCATACATCAAAGGGGTCATGGACCCATGGGGAAACTTTTGAAAAAAACACACACAGTACCAACAGTATTCAGACCCACCACAAAAATACAACAAATGTTACAGTCAGTAAAGGACAAAAGGGACCCCCTCACCACTGCAAGAGTATACCGGATACCTTGCAGTTGTGGACAGGTATACATTGGAACCACAAAACGCAGCATTCACACCAGAATCAAAGAACATGAGAGACATTGCAGACTAAAACCCCTGGAAAAATCAGTAGTAGCTGAACATGCCCTAAAACAAGCTGGACATGAAATTCCATTTCAAAATACTGAAGTACTGGACAACACCAGCAATCCTTATGTTAGAAGGCACAGGGAAGCCATTGAAATCCATAAACACCAGCAGAGCTTCAACAAAAAAGAGGAAAATCTAAAACTTAACAAGGCCTGGCTCCCAGCACTGAAAAATACAGCCTTCAAAAGGTCAACAAACTCTACCTAGCCACAAGGACCAGGGATCATTGCACAAAAAAGACCAGCTAAAGACACCCATCAATCACAGTGACAGATAATCTCTCCCCTTATCACAACAATACAGCCACAACAAAAACACGCTAATCACCATCATCACCCTATCTCCTGAAGAAGGACAAAGGCTGTTCCCACAGCTATAAATACTCAACTATCCAACAAACAGCAACAGAGCATGGACATAGTTCCTACTCCAGTCCTCTGAAGATGCTGGCCACAGAGACTGGCAAAACGTCAGGAAGAACAACCTTCAGAACATGGCCAAACAGCCCGAAAAACCCACAACAACCATCACGAAAGAAAGAAGACATTCTTTACCTCAGGTCTTTTAGAAAGATGTTTAAAACTTACCAGGGGTTGCTTTAGTTCTAGATTTCATACTTCATGTGCATGTTGGAATTAATGACCTTTGGGTTGGTTGAATAAGTTAATAATGGTTGAAATCCTATCGGCAGAACTATATATTCAGAAAGGTGATGATTTCACTAGAATTGGGACATTTTTGGTAACTGAAGGCTTCCCCCTTCTCTCCTGTTCCTTGTTCAATTTGCAAATATTCAGTTTCATTGTGCAAAAGCTGTGGGGACTGTGGGATGAAAGGAAGAGGTCTTTCATTACCAAAAATCACTGTTGCTAGATGATGTTCTGGGCAGAGAGAGGTTTGCGGTAAAGATTCCCTTCTTCCATCCTACCTACAGGTCCCATACAGCTTCTACATGATGAAATGGATTATTTGCAAGTCAGACAAACTCTGGGAGAGGAGGGGGAATCTTTAACTATTTAAAATATCCCCTTGCTGGTAATATCACCACTCTTCCACAGACCACCAATTGGATATTACACCCTTAGGATTTTAGCCTAAAATTTAAGTGGAGGGACAAGCACCCAACAGGAATTTCTCACTGTTATTCTCTCCACAGAAATGTGGCCTATACAAAGAATTACCACATTCTACTCCCCACAAATACAGGTAACCTAGTTCAAATATTAAGAAAATCAAGCATATTTCCATTACGTTATGTGAGCCTCATTACCATTTATATAGTTAGAACTGGCCTGAGAGAGATAATACAAAGTTCAAGTGTTGGACCTGAAACAAGTGGATTGAAGTTTAAATACCTGCTCAATTGCAAAGCCTGTGGGTAACCTTGGGCTAGTTACTACCTCTCAGCCATATCCCTCTTAAGGACTGTGCTGTGGATGAATGAGGAGAGAGGAACCATGTTAAATGTCATGTGTACATTGCTTGAGCAGCACAGATGACCTTCAGAGACATATTATTGCTGCATTGGAATAACACAGCTGTCTCCTTGAAGACTTTGAAAGATGTCCCTGTGTGTAAGAAAAATATGCACACTTCAAAGCAATCTTGAGTAGTAGCCTTGCTCCTCCTGGACACCACTGCCTCCACATTTCTTATTTCCACCTAGTAGCTGCTCTTTTGTCTCCCTCTTAGAAATGTCACTGTAGTAGGGAATCTGTGCAAACTATTCAAAGAACCATATTAGACTCTCAAGAAAATGAAATGTCATTCTAAAAGGGCTATCTTTATTGTTTCTTTATTATCATTTTAAACCACGTTTCAAGAATCCAAGATTCACAGCAAGCAACAACCTCAATAAGCCTCCATTTATCTACTCCTCTTCTCTTTTCCAAGTTCTTTTATACCGCTATGTCACAGACACAAAAGTTTTAGAATAGGGCTGTCTGTATTCCACTTGTCTCCTAAATTCACTGCTATCGTCATTGCTTCCAAGTTATGATATATGTAAGCATAGTAGTAACTGAAAAATGTGCTACCATGTTCAAGTGAGAAGAGAGCAATGATTCACTATGTCTCCTGTGGATTTTTGAAATAATAAATAAATAAATAAATAAATAAATAAATAAATAAATAAATAAAGAAAGAAAGAAAGAAAGAAAGAAAGAAAGAACGAAAGAAAGAAAGAAAGAAAGAACGAAAGAAAGAAAGAACGAAAGAAAAAGAAATTCCGCCATAACCCAGCTCATGCAAGTTATAGAAAATAAAAGAAAACCTGATGAACTCCAGGTGTATGAAAAATAGCTCACGCCAAGAGGAAAAAAGTCTACATATCATCAAGCAAAAGTATGAAACACATTTCTCACTGTCTGCATCAAATTCACTTTAGTGAATGCATGCCATAGGGATGCATACTGACTAATATGTGCTTCATAGTATTAAAATGTCATTGTGATTCTATTTTACTTCTAAAAGAGAGGGAAGATATGTGTTTCTTTTTATGCTTCCTCTTGCCTTACCCGCAATTACAAACTGCCATGTACCCCAGGATGGAAGTACATTATGAGGGAGATGCTGTTCCTTCAGGCAACTCGTCTCAGAGAAACTAAGTACAGAAATTATTGTACATTGGGTTGTGCAAAAAAGTGACTGCAGAACTTTAATTATAGATGTTCCAACTGCAGAGGCTCAACTTTCAGTGAGAATAGGGCTGCCCCATATTCCATTTGCATAGTACTTTAAACCAGATATTAGGAGGGTGGGATTACAGTTACATTTTTCCATTCCTCCATTTTATTTGCTTTCTTGGTTCCCAGTTTTAAAGACAAATTAGTTATTTTTTTCTATCTGAAATGTGAACAAAATGCTGGCTGAGGAGGACTTGGTTTTGTGTTAGAAGCATGGCATTGTAGAATTGTTAGGGGCTCTAATGTCACCAAGTCCACATCTTGGCTGATGCAGGAAATTCACGGCTAAAGCAACCCTGACATAAGGCCATCCCAACTCTGGTTAGAAGCCTCCAATGCAGGTGAGTCCACCAGCTCTAAAGGTAGCCCATGGCATTGTCAAACAATTGTCAGGAAACCTTTGCTAAATTTAGGAAACCATTGTCAGGCAACCTTTGCTAAACTCTTCCCATGCTTTGCATATGATTCATAAATTATTTATTTATTTATTTATTTATTTTATATCCCGCCTATCTAGTCGATAGACCACTCTAGGCGGCTTACAACGAGGGATGCAACAATAAAAACAACAAAATCACATAAAATACATAAAAGAAAACTTTCGACAATTGGGTTAAAGAAAAGAGGGAGAAAAGAGGAGGGGATCAGGAATTAACTAGGGGGGAAGGCCTGCCGAAACATCAATGTTTTTAATTGCTTTTTGAAAATACCCAGCGAGGGGGCCGCGCGAATATCAGGGTGAAGGTTGTTCCAGAGGCGAGGAGCCCCCGCCGAGAAGGCCTGATTTCTTGTCTTTTCCTTCCGGGCCTCCCTCGGCGTTAGGCTCCTCAGCCTCACCTCCTGGCTCGCGCAAGTGACACGGGTAGATCTTGGTGCTAGAAGGCGTTCCGCCAAGTATTGAGGCCCTAAACCGTTTAGGGCTTAGTACGTAAGCATCAACACTTTGAAGTC